TATTAAATCTAAATAAAATATTGAATTAAAGAAATTAAACAAAAAACCATAACTTTAAATAGTAAATTTGATACTAATATTGATATATATTTTTCCCAATTTTTTATGGTATATTTAAATTTATATTTTATTCAAAAATAAAAACATAATTGCTTTCTCAAAACCATATTATATCGACATAGATAAATAGTAAAAAGAAACATTAAAATTGAGATATATCTCGTTATATTATGCGAGCACCCTTCTAGTATTCTAATAATATACTTAATGATATAATTGCTAAAATAGAATAACTGTTGGAGTTGAATGTAATTTTTTAAAAAAGATTTTAACTTTTGATACTCCACTATAAAAAATTTATAGCATGCTTTCAGAAATGCTCTAAATGCCTTTAGAGTTCAGAAAATTGACTTATCCGCAGAGCATTAAAAATGGGCAAATTGCAAGAAAATGTAACGTACTTTAACTTGATTATTATTTTCAGTACCGTACTTTCTAAACTTTTATTTTGATTCCTAAGACGTAAAATTTTAAACATTTAAGTACCCGGATAACCTGTTGAAACGTTAACCGGTTACCCATGCTGATGTAAACGAGTGATACCAGGATTGATATCTTAATACTGAGTTGGATACCACATCACTCCACACATCAGCATGGTAATCGATTAATGTTTTAACCGATTATCCGAGTACTTAAATGTTTAAAATTTTACATCTTAGTTATAAAAAATAAAAGTTTTAGAAGTACATTACTCAAAATAGAAATTATGTTAAAATACGTTATTTTTTTGTTGTATTTTGCTCTTAAAAAGTTAAACCACATGGCTCTTTTCTATAATTTCATTTTATTGGCATATAATGTTAAACCACGTAAACTACAAGGACCAAACATGTAATTCCCTCAAAATAAAATGACTTGACACAACGGCACGTGCCATCTAACGGACACCAAAAACAACCCTACAAACCGGGCTCAGCTCCCACGTGCCCCTTTTCCTTCCCCCATCTCCCCAACCGTTTTAAATCACGCTTCGCTTTATACAAACATATAGTATATAATAGGATAAATTATAAACTTGGTCCCTATGGTTTGTCATAAATAACACTTTTTACCCTAATGTTTTAAAATTAGAAGATGATCATCATAGTTTGCAAAAACGTTTGAATTTAGTCTCTTCCTCTAACGACCGTTAAGTATTTCATTAAATGTGGGTAATTTTCGTTCTTTTCTAGATTTTTTTTGTCTTGTCTAATCAAAATCGATTTTATTATTTTGATCCTTGTGGTTTTTGATTGGGTAAAAGACAAGAATCGATAAATAACAAATCTGAAATTAAAAGGTAAAAACTAAAAAAATGATACTAACGAGATTAAAACTCAGGTCTAAAATGAATGAAAAGTCTTGCAAACCAACTCTACCAAATAAAACTTGTGTCATTATTTTAGTTTCAAAATATATACGGTGACACACAACAAATTGATATTGTGAGACTTTTCACAATCTTATATTTTTTACAGTACGATGGAGGAAGAAAAAGGTGGCACGGGTCATCATATGCTCTACGTTGGATCCTTCTCTGAAACATGCCATTATTTATTGCCATTTTTTAACGACTGTTAAAATGAGAGACCAAATCTGGATGTTTTTGCAAATCATGATGGCCATGTGACTTTAAAACTACAGGGACGAAAAGTATTATTTGTAAGAAAACATAGGGACCAAATTTGTAGTTTTCTCTAAATAATATATATATACATGCACGTATGTATATGTATATATCAATGTCGTATGTATAGATTTATATATAAATCCAAACCTCCGCTCAGTACTTCCCGGCCAGCCATTATCGTCCCAATTTTCACGTTAACTGACACTTCAATCTCTCTCTTCGATCCTTATTAAAGTCTGTTTCATCATGGAATTTGAGTTTAATCTATGGTGGTGGACTGTATAAACAATGGGTGTTTAATTTGAGCTCAAATCCGTTTATTTGGCTGCTCACTTCGTTTGATTGATACTGTGAGTGTCAATTCTGTTTAAATGAATTGATGTTGCGTCATTTCGATCATCTCGTAAATTTGATTAGGGTTTTTTGGGTTTGAGGAAAATGACGGAGAAAGATGAGAACGGAGGGGATTGCGGTGATGATGATGAATGGGGGGATCTGATTACGACTCCTAATCGTTTGATTTCCGACGATTTTTTGGTTTTGAAGGCTGAAAATATTGGTAATGATGAGGAGAAAGAGGGGAAATTAGAGGATCAGGAGCAGGAGAGTAGGGTTTGTAGTGATGGTAAGGATAACGATGTTGATAGTATGGAGGGGAGAGTGAAGAGTTGTAGAAGAGTTAGTATTGCAGAAAGAAGGGCTGCAAAACGTGGTTCTGATGGCGATTCTTCGAGCATCAGTGTTTCAGTATCTTCATCGCCTGCTACTGCTTGGTCTCAGTTCCTTACGATACCTTCCGGCATTAGTCCTACGTCATTGCTTGAGCTTGATTCACCTATTATGCTCCCTAATTCTCAGGTAAAGTTCCTATAATCTAAGTTCATTCAAAATTCCTTCAATTGTGTATTGTTAATCGGCCACACCATTTTAATTTGAAATTGAAGTCGTCTAGGATTATCCTAAGCTTTGTTTTGTGATAATTTATGGAAAACAATGCACAAATGTCCCAAACCAAATGTCAAAATGTGTAAAGTTGCAACCCAACAACTGAAACGGACTGTGAGGATCCTAAATGTGTAATCCAAATCGATACCCAAACAATGTAAATGCAAACACAAATAACACCGAGATTTAACTTGGTTCCACTATCGTGAGATAGTGTACATCCGCAGGTGAGAGATGGAGCTTGTATATATCGATGAACAAATCGTGGAGATTACAATAGAGCTTACCCTTAAGCAAAGATCCTACAAGCTCAAGGTAAAAACTCTCCAAAATGATTTGCACTCGAGCCAAAATCGCCCTATGGAAGAGTTGTGCTAAGAACTTGCTAAAACCCTAAGAAAATCAGCATATATGCTGAAAAACATAAGCTCCCGTGACCCTACCCGCGACCTAAGTCACGGTGTAGGTCATCCAGAAGCAATAGCAGCCGAAAGAGTAACTTCCATGAATCAACGGGCCCAGTCGCGAGCATCAGATTGGGCCCAAAACAGCGTGTTTCAAATGGGGCGCGGTGCGTATCAATATTTCAACAACTTTATCTGAATGGTTTAGGGGCTTTGGTAGTCAATTGATCTAGATGAACTATTTTAGGGAAAAATTAAGGTAACCTTACTTGTTATGCATGATAAGTTAATGACTAGAGTTATTAGGATGTGTGATTAGCTTATAGGGAAGTTGCATTGGGGAGCTCTACCTACTATATATTTAGTTCATTTGATGGCTTGGCTGCTGATGCATACAGGATGCCTTGTAGAGCAAATGTGCTTTAAGGCCTGTTTGTTAGCAGCTTAATGAGCTTAATGGGACTCACAACTTATTTGGTCAACTATACATAACTGTTTGGTAGTGGCTTATTGATATAGAAAGTGGCTTAAGCTTATAGGGGGAGCTTTTATATAGAAAGCCAAGTTTTTTCTTTCAATTAAAAAACACGCTCCTTCCATATATGAAAAAAACCCTTCCAAACATTAACCTTTCCAATCTATATAGACAAATTAATCCAGACAAGATAAAGGACTTAATGGAAAACCAACCAACCAAACAACCCCTTCGTTGCTGATGCATTGACATGTCCTTGCTTAGAAATGGGTCCTTCGGTTAAATCACAATATGTCAAATCCATGAATTTCTCACATGTTTGAGAATGTCACTTCATAACAGAAGAATGCCACTTTCATATATAAGAATGCCTAGAAACCTGTCAGAAGGTCATGAATTTAAAAAGCAATTGTCAGGAGGCCATTTAGCTAAATAACCCCTTACAAACTCAAATCTATTATTGGGTGGTTCATAGGGTACTTAGAATGTGTTGTTAATTGCTAGAATGCAACTTTTTATCATGGAGGATTTGCTCCTTTTAGACTGTCTTTAGTTCTATATCACTTGCTGTTGCTTCGACATCATACCTATGGGATTTTCTTGAACATCATATATCTATGTTTGTACATCAGATTCTTTATGTGATCTTACAGTTAGAAAATCCAAAAAAATATGTTTCTGGTTCGTTTAACATCGCGTTCCCACATTTCTGTAGTTGAAAGGCAGAAGTGGGGAACTAGAAAAGAGCAGCCATGACATTACAATTATCATGGGCTGTTTTATGGTTTGATGATGTGATATAGTTTTACAATGCATATAGTAGAGGCGAGTCAAAGTTTTTTTATTCACTTACTGTTGTTGGTGGGCGTTTTATGAATGACAAAGTACTTTGTTGGATTTTGAAGAGATTTGAGAAACCTGTTTGTTGGAGTCCCACATCGGCTAGAATTGACTATTTCGCCCATATATACGTTGGAATCTCCTCTTTCTCCTCAAGGGCTCTTTTGGAGAGTGATATGGGGCTTCCACATATTCTCACATGGTATCAGAGCCACGGTCTGCCACTCTAGGGACCCGACACTTTGGCTAGCCACCCTCTCGACACTCCGGGAAAAATTGTGTCCATTTAGCCTCAATTGGAGGGGGCGTCTTGGAGTCCCACATCGGCTAGAATTGGACCATTCCCCTGTATATATGTTGGAACCTCCCTTTTCTCCTAAAGGTCTCTTTTGGAGAGTGATATGGGGGTTCCACATATTCTCTCACACTATTGTTTGTAGAGAATAGAATTGTAGGCCAAGAAAATGGTAACTCTAAAGCAAACCCTAAACCTTTATGACTGTGGCAACCGAACATGACAGAAGAAATTTGTGAGTACATAGATGAGCTTATCTCACTGAAACCTCATCCTTGATCTCAAATTCTCATATATAAGCTACATCTTTTTTGGGATGCTAAATGGGATATAGTGGTATGGTAGTTGGATTTAGTAATACATACAGCCATGAATAAATTTGCATGTTTGGTGCTTGAACAGCTTATGGTGAACTTATTTGAGAGAAGAATTGAAGTGCTCCAAAACATGGTATTCGGAAGAGCAACATCAGATCTAGAATTTATATTACAATTTGCTCGGTTGACAAGTCTAAGTAACTTGATGACCTTTCTGAGTTTCTGATTTTTCGTATCATTGCATCATGAGATGGTTACAATGATCGTGGGAAGGTTATTCTGATCTCCTTTTTGATCGTTATATATGTTTGGTCAAGGAAATGAACAATTTTGACAATCAAGAAGAAACTAAAAAAGTGAAAGGAGAAAATGGTTGAAAGGGTCGGTAGATGGGTTAGGTTCAAGGGGAAAACCGTAAAAAAATAAAAAACTAAGGAACACCCTAATAACTGTTGATCTGTACGGTATGCACATGTGCATATAAGTAATTTGTCCGATATGCATCTGTGCATAACATGCACACGTACAAAGAAACCACGAAACATCTTCAATTACTTGTATGCATATGTGCATATCGTACAGAGGAACAGTTGTTGGGGTGTTCCTCAGTTTCTCAGTTTTTCATTTTTTTGGGATTTTCCCTTGAACCTCGGTCATGATTTAAAATTTCAATTTTCATGTCACATCATTTGGTTGGTGATCTTATGTCACAAATATTGACAACAGAACTCTAAACTCTAGATTTTCCATGTATGAAATCATGATTTTGTTTTCCTCAAAACCTGGTACAAGTAATCCTGTTGGTTTATCTCTTATATAACTTGTTTATTATGGTGTGATTTTTCATTTTCATAGGCATCTCCTACGACTGGAACCTTGCCGTACCCTCCTCTCAATCATGAAATCTTGGGCATGAACTCAGCAGTTGAAGACAGGATCAGTGACAATGGTTCTTTCACATACCCGTCTCATGGGGGTTCACTATTATGGCCATGCATTCCCGACCTACAAAATCAGGTGAACATTATGTACGTAATTCTATTTCATGTTTAAGATGGAAAAGTTTTTAGGTAGATTATGAAATCTCTCGTATATTAAGTTCACTACACTTATGTCATTTGTGATATGCTCATGACAACAACATTTAAAAACATTTGCACAAACCGGGTTCTTCACGGAAACAACCTCTCTAGGCTCTACCCCTTGGGATAGAATAAAGTTGTTGCGGGCTTGGAGGGCCCAGACCAGGTCTAACCTATTTTTTTGTCCAACGGGCCTAATATGGAAAACCCAAGTCCTATTTTACAAGCTTGAAAACTTGCCCATACCCGTCCCATAAATGGGCCGGGCTTGCCAACGGGCTAACGAGCCTAAAAAATCTTTTTATACTTTTAAGAAAACAAAACTTATATAAAATCACAAGTTATGTAAAATAATTCAAAATACATTAACAATTTTTCCAACTTAAAATTAGATGTAAATACATAACAATGTACTATAATTTAGAGACAAAAAGTTGTTTCGCTAAATATAGAGTATCAATAAAGGAAATGACCAAATGAGATGATAAGGAATTGACTAATTGAGGTAATTATGTTTTTACTTTTTAGATTTTAAAAGAATGTTATTATCATAAGTCATAATTAAGTGGGAATTGATAAGTATCAAGAATTTTCAATTTTATTTGTAAATTTTAATTATAAAAGTTAATTACTATAATAATATTAACCGGGTGGGCGGGCAGGCCTGCCCAACTTTTTCCCTCGCCCATGCGGGCCGTTAATTTTAACAAGTCAGTCTGGGCCCGCTATTTCTTCGAGAATGGTAATCCACACCTGCTTTTCTAGCGGGCTGGATAGGGGGTTCTAGCGGGCTGTCCCGCCCGTAAACAGCTCTAGGATAGAGGTAGGTCCTGAGCGGATATACTGGACTCGTTTGGTTTGGTTTGGTTTGGTTTGGTTTATCATGAGTTTGAATCTCATCCTTGGGCATGCCAAGAGAATAACGGAGTGTCAGTTGGTAAACAGCAAAAACTTTACCCCCTGGGATTTGGCTTCCTGAATCATGGTAGAAATTTTATGATGCCAATAATATAATAAAATCCTTAAAATATTATTTGGAATGTACTTTTAAAACAATTGTCGTGACACTTGAACCATTCTCTTCCTATTTCATTTACCACCAAAATCAATTCCAATGATACCCTTCTAAATCAAATGATTCGAAACTCAAGTGATACTGTTGAGAATCTGGGTTTTGTGGTTTCAGTCACTTGGATAATCATTGGAACGTGTATATAATGCACTCTCCAGATAATATTTCAACCCTTAATGCCGTAGGTTTCACGAAATCAGCATTGGGATAATCCAAGAAGTCACTCTCGTTCTTAACGGAGAATGCTCGAGTATATATACACTAGATTATCCGTTTTATATATTTATAAGAGAGATTGAGGGTTAGGCGGTAGGTAGGCGTTAATAGATAACTACACAACAGTTGTAACTGCTTGTGGATAAGGTTGAAAAGGATCAGACTTCAGAGGCAGGCTGCTCAGAAGCTCTACAGTCATAAGGTAACTCAGAGACCAAGTCAGAAGCCAGCTTCAAAAGCTCTGAGTTAGAACTCTTCCCAATCAAAAGCTTCTGATGCAGACCAAGAGGCTTCTCAATCTATACTTAGTCTCCAAATCACCAAGTTCCTAAACCTAACCTTCTGAATTTCACTCGGAATGTTCATAAACTCACAATCCCTAAGTAATCCTCTTCGTACGTAGAGGTTTCCAGGCGCTTGTCCTGAACCCTGTGAGGGTGGCCCCCCTTGACCCTGTCTGCTGACCGCTGCCAGGGGCGCTGCCTGTGGGACCCTGCGAGACCCCCACCTTATGGCAATATAAGGTGATAGGGGCAACATTTGTGAGTGTGCATTTCACACCTCCTAGCTCACATTATCTTTGTGTTGCACCTAGTCGATCCCTTGAAAATCACAATTACACCAAAATGCTTGGTGACATTAAAATCACCAACAGATACAAGGTAAGCACCAAATCACCTTTGCCTCAATAGATAAAGAGATTGATCATGAACCAAAAACTGAAAAAGATTGAAAAATAATGATGTTGATGATTGTACTGCTCTTGGATGTACTTGAGATGGTGTGATTGTGAAGGTTTAATGTTGTCATTGTCAATGTGGGAGGCAACTAAATCCATGACCTTCTAACATGTTTTTAAGCATTTTGGTGTATGGAAGTGGTGGCAATTCTCAAACCACTCAGAAGGATATGGATTTAAAAGAAATCCTTTCAGAAGGCCATTTTACAAAGGGCCCATAATAAATATGAATCGAGTTTGTTGTAAGCCTTAAACTATGATGAGATGTTCATGCATAGAGGAGGGAGGTTCTGGGGAAAAATTCCAAAAAAAGAATACTGGGGAACACCTGGTAATCATTAATCTGGATGGTATGCACATGTGCATACAAGTAATTGAAGCTGTTTTTTGGTTTTTATGCACATATGCATACCGGACAAATTGCTTACAAATTACTTGTATGCATATTTGTATATCGTCCAGATGAACGGTTACCAAGGTTCCTCAGTTTTTCATTTTTTTTCGGTTTTCCCCTTAACCTTCATGCATAAACATCATAAAACCGCTTGTATCTAAATATATGGTTCACCTAATTGATCATATTTACTGCATTTTCCCAATTTCTTAAATTTTGGAGTTAACATAGAACTCTGCCATGCAGCCGACAATTCCATCCGAATTCTCAGGAACATTATCGAAAGAAAGGGTCACAAAAGGCCGGCCAACAGAATTGGAGGGGTTTAAAGCTGTGAAAAGTACCATTCGGAATGCCAATAATGCTGCTACAATAAAATCTACAGAAGGAGATCATACCAAACGACATCTCCTTGATGGGTACCCGAAGGAAACAACTCAGGCCACCATGCGGAACTCTGAAGATGGATACAATTGGAGAAAGTACGGACAAAAGCAAGTAAAAGGCAGCGAATATCCTCGGAGCTACTACAAATGTACACATCCAAATTGTCAAGTTAAAAAGAAAGTCGAACGTTCCCGTGATGGTCACATTACCGAGATCATATATAAGGGTGCTCATAATCACCAAGGTCATCGCAACGTAATTGGGTCCCCGGCTTCATTTAGTGATTCCGGATCCTACATTAAGATCGAAGAGGGGGAGGTATGGGGAAATAATAATATCGGAACTCGTCAAGATTGGACGCCAGATGGTATGGAGTTGTCATCTTCCACATCGGTTGTCACTGATAATTCTGATATTATATCACCCACCCAAGGGAAGTCCATGGGTATTTTTGAATCTGCAGGTAATCCCGAGCTTTCATCTTCAAACGGTAATTGTGAGTTTAATGAAGAAGATGGAACAAACGTAGGAATGTTGTCACCAGGAGATGACGCCGATGAAGATAAATCAGACTTGAAAAGGAGGTGTTCTTTCTCAGACCCATGTAAATGAACTCTCTCGGTATGCTTTCTTGTTAGATGAGAATTTTGGCACATTGATGTTGTGGTGAACGTTCGTTTCAGGAAGAAAGGGAATTTCTTACTGGAAACGAGTTTGGTATCGAGAGCTATGCGTGAACCAAGAGTCGTCGTTCAAATTGAGAGCGATGTTGATATACTTGATGATGGTTATCGTTGGAGGAAATATGGCCAAAAGGTCGTTAAAGGGAACCCGAATCCAAGGTAATTGGTTTATAAAGTCATGTTTACATTCATGTAGAACCAGAAAATGTCGAGTCCTGTGTTATGCATTTGGTTTCTGGTGTTGCTTGATCTTGGCCCGCTTTTTAAAACTTTGGGCTTACCTCGGCAAGTGCTTACGGGGTAACATTCTCGACTATAAAAATGGATTGTGGGTAAGCATCTTTTTAGCTCAATGACTTCCATCTGACCTGGTTCAAAACAGTCTGATCCCCGTAAAAACTTAGAAATACACTAGAGGGTTAGATTCTTAAATTTAGTTTCCGAGGTCATTCAGCTAAATAGCCCCTCTACCCATTCGGATAAAGGTGCATACATCCTACTATCTCTGGACCCCACTCCACATCCGAGTGGGATATATTGGGTTCGTTTTGTTTGATATAGACTCGAAAATGACATCGGGGGATGTGTTCTGCTGTTGTCATTCATAATCTTTCTTCATTGTGAACATGGGGGCAAAAAAGGAAAGATAGGGATGGGGTTTCTCGCGCTTTTGGCATAGTGCGCCCCTAGTGGGGGGTTGACAGACCCATACTCTGTCCTACCAATAGGATCAGTTATAACAAGTCACACACTCATATTCCCGAAATACATAAACAAAGAAATTTATATATGCAAGAAAACTACCAAAAAGTGATATTTTAGCACTCGATTTCGGTCCATTTACCGTTTTTTCCTACAGGAGCTACTACAAATGCACAAGTGCTGGATGCCCGGTGAGAAAACACGTCGAACGAGCCTCAGACGATCTAAAATCCGTGCTGACAACATACGAAGGAAAACATAACCACGAAGTGCCCGTATCCCGAAACAGCAGCCATGCAACAATGGACGTTGGGTCGGCCTCCAACACTCCTAACAGTCTATCGTTACCAAGAATCTCAAATGTCCCTAAATCCGAACCACAAGTTCAAGATCTTCCTCTTCGGTATGCCAGAAAACTCACTAATGAATATATCCCATCCAATTTCGTTGGAAACTTCGATCCCGAGCCCACAAAGTTCGAAGCTTCCTCTATTTATCAGACGAAATACGTTCCTTTCCAAAGTCCGATATCGTTTGGTTCGGTTTTACCCGATTACCCTCTTTCACTACCGATGACCATACCACCTTCCGGACACATGGTTCATAATGGCTTCGGTTTTAATAACAATGGAAAACGTACCCATGAAGCTCAATCTCAATCTTTTATACAAAACAATGGAAGATTCATTAAACCAAAAGTCGAGCAGGATGACGGGTTTTATGAGAACGTTCTTCGTGTCCCGGATCGTGTAAATGATGCCTCGTCGGCCAGGTATTGTCGAATAATTCCGAATTTTCCATAAGTTTTATAGTTTTGCTCTTTATTCATTAGTGAAGGAAGTATACAAATCTTCCTATTTCAAATGCATAAAATCAGTTTGTGCTTTCTGCACTTGATTCAGTTATTTCCTTCCCATTGAACTTGATCATTTGATGGTTTTAGCCGAATTTCGTATTACGGTTTTTGTAACTTTGGGTATCTGGGTCAGCTTACGTGTACTGACTGGATGCCCTTGGCGACCACGAATGGCGTGGAGTCATCGAAGGTGAACCTTAGGGGTGTAAACGAGCCGAACCGAGTCAAGTATTAGGTTATTCGAGCTCTGCTAAAAAAGATTATACCGGGTCGAGCTCGAATAATTTTTTCAATGTAGGGATCGGGATCGAGCTCGAATATTTTTTTGAGTTATCGAGCTTGATGGCGATTTATGGGCTCATATTCGCGATCGATTAACTCATTTATTGGCTCGAGATTGATGATTTTTATATTTTTATTGTATTATTTATGAATATACGAGCATGTTTGGCTCTAGAAAGTATATGTTCGAATGGATCGGCTCGACTCGACTCTGCTATGCTTTGCTCGACTTGAAAATTTTAATGGAGCTTTCGAACGAGAAGAGTCAAACATTTGTTTTATGAAGCTCGGCTTGTTAAGTTAACCAAGTTCTATTTTGTGTTCGTGATCGACTCGAGCTCGAGAATTATTATGCTCGAGCTCGAGATAAATGAGCTCGAATTCGAGTAGCTCGTTAAAAGCTTGACTCGTTTACATCTCTAGGTGAACCTTCATAGTCGCAATGGCTTTGGTAGTGCCTAGATTCAAACCTTGAAAATATGACATTTCAACTACATCCCCCTCGGGCTTAACCGACGCCCCAAAATAAATGTTGGTAAAGAAAAAGGCAGATACTTTTAGAAATGTGTAATTATTACACTTTTTAGTTAATTAAATGACAATTTTACCCTTAACAATAGAACGAGTAATGAATTTATCCATATCAAAATTAAGGGTAAAATTGGAAAAGAAGGGTGAAGTTATGAGGAATCAAAATTAAAAATTTGTAACATTGTTGGAATGTCGTCTTAATAATTGAGCGGTTCAAGCAAAAACGATTTAGGGGCTGTTTGGGAGTTGTTGGATATACAAAATGATTAAGAGGCTTTCATGATATAGTGCAAAATGAAATATAATTGTTTACAGTAAAATTAGGGTTTTGAATGGTTTAGGGAGACCCAGTGTATAAATCATTTAGAGGGTTTGGAACCATTAAGAGACAGACTTTTTTTTCCAAACAAGATTCACCTCTTAACGATTATAAGGTTGTCTCGTAATGAAACTATTTAAGAGTTATACTGAAAATTTCTATTCAGAACCAAAATTAATTATTTGCTTAATAAATTTCTTTTCATTTGAAATTTGTCTTAGACTACTTGTTCAATTAAGAAAGGGAGGTAAAAACTAATAGTGACAAAAATACCCTTCACATGAGAGGCACGTGAGGCAACTAATAGACCTTAAGATTAATAGACTCAGGTAATCGGTTGAAACATTAACTGGTTACCATGCTGATATGACGAGTGATGTGGTATCCAACTCAGTATTATTTGCTATTTAACCCAATTTCATCCCATCACTCGCCACATCAACATAGTAACCGGTTAATAGTTGAACTGGTTACCCGGGTACCTAAATGTATAAAACTTTATATGTTAGGTACCAAAATTAAAGTTTTAAAAGTACGTTACCTAAAATAGGAATCAAGTTAAAGTACGTTACTTTTTCATGCAATTTGCCCTAATTAATATCATGAATAATGCAAATGTGTGATACATAATGAATGATATCTGCGAATATTTATATTTATCGTTAACAACTGGTTCTAACAGTTGTCAAAACTGATATCGTTTTTGATGACGTGTAAAAGATATGCTTTCAACTGATGCATTTTAGATGCTTGTTGCATATATTCTAAGATGTTATTCATTTACACCATTTATCTTCGTTTCCGTTATTGATTCTAAAGATATTCCTTCGATTCATAATATACGCAAAGTTTGATCCGAACACAGAATTATTCAAACGACAAAAATCCACCTCCACAGAACGTAAAATAAAAGATTCTCAGTGTCCGTTTGGTTTGCATGCTTGTTTTTGAGAGATTTGGATTTCATGGAGGGATTTGGATTTGGAGAGATTTGGATTGGAATGGATTTAAAATCATTGGTGTGTTTGGTTTGTAGGATTTAGAATGAAATTGGATTCCATTATTTATAAATAATTATAAAAATAAGTAAATTATGTTTTTATTAATCGATTATTACAAAACAAACGTTTTTAACACTTTTTAGAACCTTATTGCATACAATCCCGTGAAATCCCAAGCACCCCTAAGGATTTCAAAATCCTATGTTTATAGGATTTCAATTAAATCCTAGGATTTTTCAAATTCTGATAATCCAACAAACCAAACATGTGATTACAATGGATTTGAAATCCAAATTCCATCAAATCCATTTTATCCCTGCAAACCAAACGGGACCTTATAGTATTTTCAACAGATTTTTGATACCCCCAATAGACTTGTAAACATTTTTTTTGGGTAATCGTGAGTTTCCGAGTCAGCTTACGTGCATCGATTAATCCCTCAGACAATCATGAATGGTCTGAAGTCATCGCATGTGAACCTCCATGGCCACAACGGCTTTGGCAATGTCTGGATTCGAATCCGAGGTAAATGAAATTTCCCCTACATCCCCCCTGAGACTTAACCTGTGGGTCACAACTCAAATTGTTAATAAACAAACTTTGAAGTTAAAGTCTTTTTTTTTTTTTTTTGTGGAAAACAATTAAAAAATATCTCTTTTCATAATGGTCACTATGTACCAAAAATAAATGTCTACATTTCTATTTTAATTTGTGGGCAAATTGAATGAAAAAAGTAACGTATTTTAACTTGATTCTTATTTTGGATAATAAATTCTTATTTTGGTATCTAAGATGTAAAGTTTTAAAATTCAAGTACCCGGTTAATCGGTTAAAGCATTAAAACTAATTTAGATATATGTATATAAAATAACAATATATAAAAACTAATTTTAGATTAAGATATCAATCTCAACAAATAATATTGAGTTGGATATCACATCAATCGTTACATCAACATGGTAACCGGTTAATGTTTCAACCAGTTATCCGAGTACTTAAATGTTGAAAACCTTATATCTTAGTTACAAAATGAAAGTTTTGAAATTACGTTACTCCAAATAGGAATAAAGTTAAAGTACATTACTTTTTCATTCAATTTACCTTTTTTTTATTTAGAAAATCCGTTATAAATGCTCGGGTTTTTAAAGACTTGAATATAAGTTATCTTAACAAGTTATCAATAGCTTTCTATTGTCGTTTTTAACTGATTTGGTGATTCTCGAGATGATAACTTGCCGCTTTCAGATCAGTCGGTTCTCGGATGGCAGTTCAGAACCCACCAAAACCGAACTGAACCGATCAACATTCAATTAATCATCCGATAACCATCCAGTTGTCTATCTAACTATCATCCAATTAATTTATTTTCAAATTGTTTAAATCCAAATTTGTTTTATGTGAAGTTTTGAATTTTTAACTTCCCTTGTGTTGGTTTGAACACATATTAAAAGTGATTAATCAATTTATACCATTGTTGGAGAATTAGATTGAATTAACACACTGGATGAATCCAATCCCAACGGATCATCAATTTGATGGAACCGAACTGATCCAATCATCTATTAGATTGGATTGAATCGGTTATCCAATGTTAATCGAATCAGATCGATTGGCAAAATCCAACATTTAATGAATGATTGGATCAGTCCGGTTCCCCTCACATCCAATGGATGTCAACCGATGAACAACCCTAGAAATGACAAGTGGAGGTTTTGTCGAAAACATCCTCTCTATTTCTTGTGACGGAAAAAATATTTATGTACATTAAACCTTCCAAACCCGACTTCCAAGTGGAATATACTGTGTTTGTTTGGTTTGATTCTGGTTCTGAAATGATGATATCAATTCTCTTCTTTGTTTCCCCTTGATTAGAACAATTTCAAGATGAATCCTTTAAAGAACTTAAATCAATGTTTGTATGGTATAGTGTTGAAAAGGAACTATTTGCAAAGCATCACCCTAAGAAAAGCCGAAAACCGTTAAATAGACGTTATTCGGGATTTGTGCAAAACGTCTTCTCTCCCGAGAGCAACCGTCTTTTCTTGGAACCGTATCCGTGATATTGGTAGATGACACTATGAAGACATTGCCTTAGGTACGATACGTCATACGTTTCCAAGAATTTCAAGTCGGTGTCTCGTGATTTCACGCCCGCGTGAATCTTGTACTCTTCCAACACTGACGACAAACACCAGTTTTGAACCTTTCGTAGGGTCCCGACAAGACACCCTGTACGATGCTGCCATAATGACACAATTTTCCAATGTTAAAACCGACACAAAACCAAAAATCCCAAATGGGTATTGTGTTTGGTTTGCCGGATTTGGAATGCAATTGAATTATTTGTAAATAATTTATAAAAACAAAAATTATAAATAATTATAAAAATAATTAAATTACTTTTTGTTATATGATTATTATAAAGGGCAAATTGCTATAAAAAAGTAACGTCTATAACTTGATTTCTATTTTGGGTAACGTACTTTTAAAATTTCCATTTTGGTACCTAAGATGTAAAATTTAAAACATTTAAGTATTCGGGTAGCTGGTTGAAGTATTAATCGGTTACCATGTCAATGTGACGAGTGATGTGATATACATCCCAGTATTATTTGTTGTCATAGATATCTTAATATAACTGATTAATGATTCAACAGGTTACCCGAGTACTTAAATGTTTAAAACTTACATCTTATATATCAAAATGGAAGTTTTGAAAGTTAGTTACCAAAAATAGAAATCAAGTTAAAGTACGTTACTTTTTCATGCAATTTGCCCTTTTATAAAACTAATATTTTTAACATATTGTAAAACATTATTACAAATTAATCCTATGAAATCCTGTGAAATACCAACAACCCCGAGATTTCTAAATCCCTGATTGGGAATTACATTTTGGACTTCCCTTTAAACCAATCGCTTGATTGGAATTGAATCCAATTCCAATCCAGCAAACCAAATGGGCCTTTATGAAGGGCCCAATTACTACTGCCATGCAAGAGGGACAAATCTTATCTCTAACATAAATGTCAAGTTGATGTGAAACATGATGAGCATTCTTTTATGGGCAAATTACATGAAAAAGAAACGTATTTTAACATGATTTCTATTTTGGGTATCGTATTTTCAAAACTTCCATTTTGATACCAAAGATGTAAACTTTTAAACATTTAAGTACTCAGGTAACCGGTTGAAACATTAACCGATTAGCATGTTGATGTGGCGAGTAATGTGGAATCCGGTTAATGCTTCAGCAAATAATACTGAGCTGGATACCACATCAGCAAAATGGAAGTTTTGAGAATAAGTTACCCAAAATAGGAATCAAGTTAAAACACGTTACTTTTTCATGCAATTTGCCCTCTTTTTATCGGTAACATACCTTTCCTCGTTTGCAATGTATCAAAACCGGATGGATTCTCACATCTGCGAAAGAAAATACAGGCGAATACCCGTATGAGATCGAATAATATATAGAAGATTTAAACGAAACTGTAGTAAAATTTTCCATTCGTGATCCATTACCGATCAAAACTTTCAAAGCCTCCGTGATGGTACTCCTAAGAATGTCCACGGAAGGCTCCTACACGTTTCAATTATACCAACGTAGATTATAAACATAAATCATAACGTCGTTGATCATATCAAGAAAGCGAACAACGTTGAACAAGAAAAGAAAGTAACGAAAACCTAACGGAAACCAGTTATATCTATCGGGTCCATATTTGTGTAGGTTTTACCTTACAAGATTCGTATTTCTGAAAAAACCGATCAATTAATGAAGTTCAACGAAGTATATCTATCCATAAAGACAACTACCGAGTTTTTGCTAGAACAGATCAGCCAAACCGCCAACCGTTCTATCGAATATCTCAATCGACTCGAGCAAGATACCGAACCTTCTCAAAACCAAATATATGTTCGTTTTTCAGTTAAAGTTGTCAAATTAAAGCCAAACCAGACAAGCTAAGTAAATACCAAGTGGGAGGTGGAAAAGGTTCAGTATATTGCTCGAGTCAATTGAGAATATACTATCTGATATCTACCTCAAAGAGTATAGCAGCTACTTTTTATGACGTTAGAATATACTGGACTCGTTTGGTTCACTAGGACATCATAACGTTTAGGGTTTTTTTCCTCCAAATAACATAGGCTCAATTATAACAAACAACACATTTGCATATATTATGAAATACAAATATACACATTGGTCTCAAATGTACAAATTGCTACATATAAAAGTAGCTACAAACTTTTTGTTGACAAACAGTACATGACTTGTATATAACACATTCTCAAGTACATGCATATATTCAACTTCCAAAAATTTCCACAGATGGAAAATTGCATCCAATTCCATCATATTCTCGATTTCAGATATTTCAATAATTACTGTTTCTTTAAAATAAAAAAACCAAATTTAAAATTTCAATAAGGAACTGCATCTAGTTCCATCAGATTCTCTATTTCAGAGATTTCAAAAATAATTTCTTTAAAACAGATAATCAAAAGTCAAAATCTCTATAAAAGAATTACATTCAACTTCAACAGATTCTCTAAAATAGAGAATTTCAGCAACTATATTATTAAAATGTTCTATAATTTCAGTACTTTTAAAAAACTATATATATAAAAAAAACTAATAAATCAATCTCATTGGCAGGAAATATTATTTCTGTCTCCATACCACATCACTTGTCACGTAAAAAAACTATACTATTAAAATGTTCTGATGTGGTGTGTGATGTGGTATCCGGTCAATACTTCAACAAATAATACTGAGTTAGATACTACATCAACATGATAACCGGTTAATGTTTCATCCAGTTACCCGGGTACTTAAATGTTTAAAAGTTTACATCTTAGATACCAAAATAGAAACATTACTTTTTTTTATGAACTTGAACAAAATACATTTCTCTTCCTAATTTTCAATTCTCTATGATCAATTCCACCAAAATTTCGAACAGAAATCTCAAGAACACAGATTATACATCAAAATGAATACATAATCCAACGATTTATATCGAGAATGGATTAGAGAAACAACCTTGGTTCCATCAATTCCGAATTGAAACAATCGAATGTTGCGAGACTTTAAGAACTCCAAATTCTCCCTAGGATACGGTTCCGTGCACAAATATCTACACCAAAAAACACCAAATCCCATCACGAATTCAATCAAACTACCAAATCGAACCGTAAAACCAACTCACATCACAGATCGAAGCTGTAGCGTCTCGAGGAATGCGAAGTTTCCAGGTTGAGGAAATCCAGATCTGTAAACTCGATCTTCAACATTCGCAAAATTAATCGGCGGAATGAAGGATTGATCACCGTCGTGTTCCACCATTTCTTTCCCTCCATACTTCATGATCTTCAGACCCATCATTAAATTCGTTGAATCAAGGGGAAAACGATGAAGGAATCAATGCATGATTGTTGTCAATTTTGTGATTGGGGGTGTAAAGATTGAAGGAAAGGGTCAATTGGGCGTCTCGTATCTCTCTTTCCCCCTCCCCAACAATATGAAATTGGGTTAATTTTTGGGTTTTAAACAACGAATTTGGGGAAATGGATTTTGGGAATTTGTGATTGAAGAAAAACGAACGATTCGTTAGGATTGTCGACTGATGCTTTAAGGAGTTGTACGTTATGAAGGTTTGGTTGTACGTAGAATTTAAGGTGGATTCTGGTGGTCTCGCCCATAGCTTTCTCCACATAATCATAAAAAAAATATAAATAAAAAATAAATTACAATTTTAGTCCCCATAGTTTGTTAATAATTTCAATTTTCATCTATGTGGTTTATAAATTACAATTTTCATCCTTACGGTTTGCAGCTTATTGTTATTTTCGTCCTTAAACTAATTTCTATCTTTAAGTACAAGAAATCAAAATTAAAAAAAATTGTAAATCAAAGAGACCAAACAATAAATTATAAACTATAAGTACAAAAATAACAATGAATAACAAACTATAGGGACTAAAATTACAAATTTTAATAAACCATACGGATATAAACGTAATTTACTCTTAAAGATTAGAGTAAATTACGTTTTTCGTCCATGTGGTTTGTTAAAAATTATTGTTTCGTTCATATGGTTTTCGTTTTTATGGTTTGTAATTCATTGTTATTTTAGTTCTTATGGTTTACTGTTAGTTGTTGTTTTGATCCCTGTGATTTACAATTCTTTACTATTTTGGTCTCTAGTATTTACAAATAGGAACTAAGGGTTATTTGTTTACCTCTTAATAGTTTCATTAGGAGACAACATCTGAATCATTAAAAGGTGGATCTTGTTTAAAAAAAAAAATTATGCCTCTTAATGGTTCTAAAACCCTCTGAATGATTTTATATCCTGAGTCTCCCTTAATCATTAAGCGCCCTGATTTCATTGTAAACTATTACCAAACAATCATATTTCATTTTACATTATATCATAAAAGCCTCTTAATCATTCCGACCACTTAATCATTCTGCACTAAATCATTCAACAACTGCCAGTCTAGAGACGAAAATAATAATGAATTGCAAATCATAAGAATGAAAATCGTAAATTCTAAATTACAAGGACGAAAATTGAAATTAATAACAAACCATAGGGACCAGAAATCAAATTTACTTTAAAAAATAATAAGAGTAAAGTTCACACTTGGTCTCTAGTGTTTGCAATTGCCAAAAGATATCATCTCTAAACTTTAAAAACTCATATTTGTTCCATGACCAGTGTCAATTCTGAACAGTTCGGTCCCTTTGTCTAACAATCGTTAAAAAATTTCGTTAAGTCCAGTTAAATGAGGGGTATATTTGTAATTTTCACCATTTTCTTAATTTTATATTAAAATTGAAAAACATAATATATTTTTAGTTTTAAATCTTTACATATATAAAAGTAAGATTCACAATAAATAATGTGGCACCCAAAGAATTGAGTATTCTATATTTCTTGCGTTGAGTTTTATGTATCCCACATTGATGGAGAAAGTAAAGCATGACAATTGATGATAGGCAAATGAGAGGAGGTTGAAGTGGCTTTATTTTAACTTGTAGAATTGGATTCTCTTGGTTAATCCTGTAAATTCACGTGGTTGGTTCATTTTTGTCAACTTTTATATATATATATATATATATATATATATATATATATATAATCTTTATTCTTTCTATATTCAAAAGCAAGGACCACAATCATTGATGTGACACATTAAGATCGAGTATTTTTTTAATCTTGAATTGTAATTGACTTTTGTCTATCCCACATTGATAGATAAATAAAAGATTGACAAATAATGGTGAATATATAAAGGAAAATTGAGATGTCCATGTGGCAGTTCATGGGGTTGACTGCTTTTAATCGATTTTTTGAACTTGGGATGCTTAGCTTATTTGGTTGACCCTCCTAACATAAGATTTTTGGCTAACCCTCTTTTTGCAAAAAAAAAAAATCTATATTAGAATTTAAATAAATAAATTAATTAAATCAATATATATGAGTCAATTCAAACGAAAACTGATTAGTTTGTAATAATCGTGAGATCCAATGTGAACCACTTGTTTGAGGTATTGAAAGATATTTCTTGAATAAACTAAAAGAGTAATATATTAATTTTATTTTTTTACAACTAATCAAAATATTTAATTAAATTTTTTTGAAGGAAATATTTAATTAAAATTAATTACCTAATATGCATCGTATTTTAAAAACGTTTGTGAATCAAAATGTACCATACTGATAACGTTCACAATGTTTCACGTGTATCATAGTGTATTTTCTATGTTTTATGAAATGTATCATAGTGTCATTTTCGTTGCTTTCTAAATGGTATCGCGTTGTGCATCTTGTATGTATATCTGGGTATCACAGTGAATATTGTTGGTAGGTATCACAATATGTATCTTGTGTTCACATAAGGTTTATCGAAATAAGGTTCACCGTGCAACGCGCAGTGCCGAGGACTACCAATGGTGTGTCTATAGATCAATTCGTATTTTCGGTCATGTTCTTTGAACTTGCAACGCGTAGTTGCCACTACTGAAATTATTCAACCGTCCACAGGGAAATTATTTTAATCGACCAAACACACCCTAATAAACCAAATGGTCTTTTGTCTAGCAGTATCGTAGCATTTGGCCTCATAGGAGGTCAGGGGTTCAAACCTCACCATAGATGAAGAGAGTGTGTGAGCTTATTTGTTGCAGTTGTTGTATACAAGTATTATATACTTAAAAAAAATATTCATTAATTTTTTAACGACACACTATCATTTATCGACGACTGACCAATTTCATGCACGAAACCATTAATTATCGTTCATACAATCTTCACAAATGGTATAACGTTTTGCATCCTATATACACACGTTTCATTTTCCTCTAATTTCAGGTGACTTACATGATTTATCTTGCATCCCACAACTTGCATCTATTGGTACAAACGTAGCTCGTTGCTCATACTGAGCCACAAAATCAGGACACAACGAGAGAAGATCTGAGACGTCTAAGTTGTCGTTACAACCGTTGGCATTGTGGGTTGTGGACCCATCAAACCCAATGTGTGTTACATGCTTTACATCTGTTGGAAGTCCGATCTCCATCTCCATTTCCGCTTCCTCCGTCTCCTCCTTGAACACTGTCTCAATTTCCACGACTAAGACGATAGTACGTATGTTTGACATATACATGCACTTATATATATATATACACTTACACACACACTAGAAGGATATTGACACAATGCAACGAGATACATTTCGATTTTAGTATTTTGTTTTATTATTTGTTTGTGTCGATATAATACGGTTTTACATGGTTTTTGAGAAAACAATAATGTTTTTATTTTTGAATAAAAAACATTATAAAACTTTGAAAATAAATATATCGATATTAGTATCAAATTAACTAATTTAAAAGTTCTCGTTTTTTTATAACTTTTGTTATGTTTAATAATGAAGTGATTTTTTTTAATTTAATAATATAATTCTTTATAAAGATAATAATTAAGTATTCTGTTAGAAGTCAATGATTATCCTAATTGTATTTTAGAGTTTTTATATTTAAAATGAGATGTTTATCTTGTATTTGATTATGTTTATTTACAGGTAGTTACACGAATTCAAAAATGAAACTTTAATAAGTTGTACATATATACGATTTACTTGTAATATTAAATTTCAAGTAATATGCATTAATTAACAGTACTTTATGTATAAAAAATGATTTTTAAGAGTTTTCGTCAAATGTTTTATAATATATATATATATATATATATACATATATATACTATATTATAAAGCATTTGGCTAAAACTCTTAAAACTCTTAAAAACTCTTAAATCCCTAAACGATTTCATCTCTATCCTATTTCATCTCATATCTGAATTCGTGTAATTAACTGCAGATAAACACAATCAAATACAGGATAAACATCTCATTTTAAATATAAAAAATATAAAATATAATTAGGATAATCATTGAGTTCTAACAGAATACTTAATTATTATCTTTATAAAAT